CCTAACCTTGTAGAGTGGATTAGGGATCAGAGGCTTCTTCCATGGACCACACCCGCTTACACCTTTGCAAGCAGGATTATCAATCATTGGAGGTTCCCAATCACCATCCATGTCGTTGTCCCAGTCACTTGGTTTTGATGCCTCTGGATCGGGGATAAGCTCTGGCTGAAAATTGAGTTTTTTGGAGATCTGAATAGCATTAGGTAAAATACGAGTTTCCATTTACTCAATAAGTTATAATCGAAATTACCTCTGTTGCTGCAAGAAAAATTTTTAGAAACTTAAAATGTTCAGATAGATAAAGTAAATATCGAAGACAAACATGATGAGCTTTGAAACTTGACAAAGTGATACTAACAAAGAAAAAATGATTGCAAGCATTTTAAAGACGCGAGCATTGTTTAACTACCTCGTCCTCAAGCCAATCTGAAGGTTTCACTGCCGTTTCATCCACTACCTCACGTGGTTGGCTCTCATCCCAATCATCAGGTTTCACGGCTGATTCATCTTCAATCTCAGCTCTGGAAAGAAACCCGATCAGCAGTATGGTAAAAGACACAAATCTGTCTACCTATCATCCCAATCAGCTGGCTTCTTATCATTGGGATCTGCAATCTCTTTCGGAGGCTTAAGCGATGGCACAAGATCCTAAAAAACAAAAAAAATCCATACATTTGACAACCTTTGGCTGATATTTGCTTACATTGAGCATATTTCCGGACATAATTTGCTTCTGGTCTACAGAAACCGAAAAAGCTCCATCCGGCTTCACAACTAGAGTGTATAAATGGGTCTGGTGATCATCCCAATAATTTGTTCCAATATCTGAGGGTTGTTTGGCGTGATATTCCTGGAGAAAATTTTCTTCTCTAAGACGCCATGTATAACGAATGATGGCTCAAAACAGCTCAGGTGTTCACTCACATCAGTTGACCCGTTCTTCGGATTTGTGTAGCGGAAAATAAGGTGGACTTTGCCGGTGGCTCCGCATTTATCTGGACCAAACATGATAGTGTACGGTGTCTTATCCTGAAAAGCAATTACCAACTGAAATAGGGAGATTTGTCAAAACTGTGGCCAAAATTTCATGGACAATCCAGAATGAGATGTAAAAATTTCTCTCAACATTTACAAAAATTACAAACAGATAAAGTAACAAAGTAACTTCATCCTTTTTGAACAGATGCAATAGGGAAATATATTGTATGTACCCACCTGAACAGCTGTGAGACTTTTTTCGGCACCCTTACTCAGCAGTTTCAAATATCCTCCACCGCATTCTTGCCCTTCTTCATATCGAACTTCGTACCTGAATTTATATTGTTCGACTAATC